AAAAAAAAAAAAAAAAAACATTTTCTAAGGAAGGTATTTTCAGTTGTGAAGAAATAACTGCGGTTCATGTAAATCAGGTTATATTAAAACTACAAAAGCAATAAAAAAGAATGACAATTTGTTTTTCATAATCATAAATAATATATGTGATTGCTATTACATGAATGTAAGATATCTTTTAGAATAGGCGAACTGTGGAATATTCAATGTTTGAGAAACAGATAATTCGAGATAAATTTACATAATATGTCAGCAAATATTTTAATGAATGTATTATGAACGAATTCAAACTTCTGAAAGAACCATATTTCCATGTGTTCCTTTTTTTAGCACGTAAAACATAAAATATTAGTTTTTGAAAAATATCTAATAATTTTTTTTGGCACCACTTTAAACAGGAAGAGATTAGAGGGAAGAAATAATAGTAGTTGGGTAAGGATACTAAAGTTTACACATTATATAGGTTACACTAACATGACGTTTAGGCGGTTCGTTTAACTATCATACGTGATGTACGTTTTTTGGGGATGGTTAATGAAAGTGTTCCAAAAGGCGACATTAATTTCTTGACGACCTAATATAATCCATTGTATAGCTTTGTGCTTAACAACAAATAAATGATCTTTGATTTTTATAGTTTGTCATTGTGGACTGGCTTACGAAGCTAAATGTTCAAGATTTAATGGCCACTTAAATCTTTGAAATCAAGTTATGGTAGTGTAAACAAGCGTACAGGTCAACTCTTCATCTCTTTGTTTTCCGATTTTCATTCTAACCCTTTGAAAAGCAGACATTATAATTTTCAGAACACTGCTATTTATTTTCATCTTTATGAAACTCAGCAGTGCAACTATAAACACCAGCGAAATGATTGAAGGCTAGAGTATTTTTTTTTTCTTGATCTAGCGATTGACAGTTTGATGTTCCCAATTTCTAGTATTTTTAGAAAAAAATTAAGTCATTAAGCCTTGATTTTTTCTTGTATGACTTTGAGTTCGTGTTATAGACCATTTTGTTTTGTTCTTTGTGAGTTTTGCGTTATTAATAGTTTATCAAAGTTGATAAAACAAAAAAAAAAACAGACACCCGCTTCTGTAAGCACGAGCTTTTCTCAATGATTTTTTGCAAATATTTCGTTGATCTCGTAACTGTCCTCGAAGAAACAATTTCTGTGCTTACAGCACCTTGAATCATCTAATGGGACGTGAATCATCTTGGATATTGTCATCTTGCACACTTAATAACACTTTTCTTTAAGTTTTCTCCCGTTTAATGCGAGAAAATGAAACCTTTTACTACAGTTGCCTCCAATAGTAATTATAAACAATTTTGCTTTCTTTCATCTTTTGCTGTGTCAACTGTGCAGTCTTTTAGCCATCAAAGTGTTTAATTTCTGGTTTTATGGCGTACTTAACATTGTAATCTGCTAGTTGCAACGTATTTTGTTAGATTAAAAAGTATACATCGCATTTTGGTCTTAATGTATACATTTAAAAAAACGTTTTCTGGCTTTCAAATGACAAACATATAATAATCTTATTTCAGGTATTCAATAATTAAAGTAAATTCGTTTTTACAAGCATGAAACTCAGAAACAATCACGTTAAGAAAGTTTACTAATTTCTCACAAAATGAAGTATTGTTATTAATTTATTTGTTAACATTTTCAAAACGTGTTATTCGAAATATCGTGCACCTAATCTTCATGTTTTCTCCAAACCTGTGGGTTTGGTAAACGCCTGGGTTTGTGAAATCTCGGGCTTTTTAGTGACGAGTGGGGGAAGTGCAGTGTTGTTGTGGCGCTAGCAACTAGTTTAGTTTTCCTTCACTGCAGTATATCGTCCTACTGAAAAACAGGACTCTTACGGTGTATACGTGTAAAATCTGCGTGGGCATTACATGGGCTCAGGTGGTTTGAACTGTTTCTGATTTTGTTGGACAGTTCATCGCTTGTAGACTTTGAAAATGCTATCTCAGTTGGCGTTTAAAAGCCCTGCTGTTTTGATCATTATAAGACACAGAATACATGGACGCCTACATATTCAAAACGTGGTGTAAAGCTTTTTAAAATACTGCTGAAAATCAGGTGATGGCCTGTTTTTAAAGTTATAACTTAACGAATATTAGAAAAAATGTTGTAAACTAAATCAGGTGTAATTATTTTATCAATATCTTGTATTTTTTAAACTTATGCTGGCTGCTCAGAACATTAGAGTAGCATGAGTGTGCAGATTACAAACCTTAATCCTTGTCACATGTTTCTGCTGTAATGATTAGTAGAGACCCGTGTTTTTATAATGCTCGGTGTGACACCCTTATCCCAATTCTCTCCCTCTCAAGCTAAACGATTGATTTTCCAAACGGGAAACTTTTTTTTTTTCAGTGACATAGAGTCATTTGTGCGCTGCTAAGTGACAGCCGTTAGTGTGTGGATCCTACTGGTTCTGGTGTTAATTCTTATCTGACCTCGGGCTTCTAAATAACACATGTTACTTTACTGTGGTTAACTGTAGAACTCGACATCTGTAAAATAGAGATGTGAGGTTGTAGTAAACAAGAAAAAGTAACGGGTGGATTGTGCGAAGTACCCGACGTATATAATGAAAACACTGTTTCAAGTTTAATTATTAAATATTATTTACGTAGCTTGAAGAGTAAATACCTATGTTGGTAGAGAATAGAGCAGGTGTGAGGTAATCTATAATGATCTGTGACCTCAGGTGTATAGAAGATAACCTTCTTTTAGAACTTGACGTTAATTCACTGCATTATCTTCACGCACAGATCCACTATCGTGAGTTGGAGATTGTGATAGGGTTTGACAAACTAAAATTATTTATTTCATGCTTGCCGCTCAGGACAACTAATTATCTCTCATAAATCCTCGCCTCTTCTTTTTTTTTTATCACGTGACAGTGATTTTATTTGCTGACGAAGTCAACTTGCGTCACATCCAGGTGCATCTACTGCTATGCCTTACCCCCGACACAGTTTCGTTTTACTTCATCCACTTCGGAAGCCTAACATGGGTGTTAATAAGAAATATTGTGCTGAAGATACTCGAACACTTCAGCGACATCCAAGACTATCGAAATCCGAGATAACTCTCTATACCAGTCCTTTCAATGGAATGGAGTATTATGGTCTGGAAAAACTGGAGGACTTTTACTTCCAAGAGAAACGGAACTCATTTCCGGATTTCTACGGCGGTTATCCCATTCCGCAGTATGGAGTTTCGAACGATAGTCACTCAGACTATGAAAGTGCAGCAAGTGAAAGTATTAGTCCCTCGGAGTGTGGAAGTCTCTGCACTGCTGTCGCTTTCAATAGCAGTGGTAGTGGAAAGGTCAGTAGTTCTTCTAGTGAGACTATTTCAGATATCCATATTAGTAGAGTTGGGGAAAATTCTAAACTTTCTGTATTCGAAAAAATAGAGAAACCGAGGTTTTTAATGGACCTTTACTAGAACTTCAGTGCTGCTGTCGAGAAAACAGCTCCGGCTCCATATATCGGTTGAACTTTCATTGTAGTGACCAAATGGAACCGCTATGGGAAGCGGAAGACAATGTCCAGTTTCAACCTGGTAAAGAAAGAAATTGTCATAATCGAAAAATACGGCATAGGTCATGCCCTCTGTATCAGGCAAGTATATTAAGTATATATTAAAACATATTAAATAAATGTTGAAACAGATGTATCTCACTTTATTTCTGAGAAATAATTGATTGGCTCGTGACGCTGTAAACTCGAGAAAATAATTATCTGAATCAAAAACAAAGTAGATCATTCATTCGTGTATTAAGACGACATCGTAATTTTAATAATTAAAATTAAACCATAATAAAATGTCTGTTCCTACATGAGGAAAGAAAACTAATGACTGTCATTAGTAATTAAATTGGATTTAGTTACATCAGTTAATTTTTAGTGTGTTGTTGGTGATGGTTATGGATTATTTTACATAAAGAGGCTGCTTTGGTTCATTAGGGTAAGTTTAGTAGTCCACCAGCTCTTATATCTGTATAACATTCAACGATTCCTTAAAAACCAATGAGAAAGTAATACCCACTCTTCGTTTTCCTTGTTGTGAAAAAAAATGTGTATATATATATATATATATATATTACAGTGTAACTGTCTTTTGACATTTGTCGTTCAGTTCTTTCATATTTTTTCTCTTCACAATTAATTTTTAATATTTATTTGGTGCTTAGAGACCACAGATATTTTCGAAACACTTTTTTAAAAATCATACCAGGAAAACTTTAACATAGAGACACATGGCTCGTTGCACGTGTAAGAATGGTGTTTAACGTTTTTTACAGCACCAATATATGTTATTAACGTGTTATTCCAGAAGGCCGCTGCCCCTCCAGACTGGAGACTTAGTGTCCACAACACACTTAATGGAACATTCCCCAGTCAGTTGTTGATCGAGCGGGGAGGTCCGGTCAGCTGACCCGCACGTTCTCTGAACATTACGCCTATTTTATTTTTTAACGAGGCTTCTTAAAGGACATGGCTTACGTTAGTAATGTTTAGAGTAAGGAATAACTGCGTCAAAATATTCAAGAACCATTTACAAGGGTTACTACTGCAATGTGGTAAAACACTTGGCAGAAGTCTCGCCATTTTATGTGTAATTCATGATACACATTTTGAACTATGGTGATTGTATATAATAAAAAACAAACAAATTCCCAACCATGTGCAACAAACCATATGTTTCTATGTTAAACGGGTTTCCCGGTGTGAATCTTCAAAAGTGTTTCGAAAATTCTTTGACACCATGAGTGTATATATTACTATTTTGACTTCTTATGACATGCATGTCTTGGTTTACGTTCAACCCTTACACAGTTCCAGTTATGTTTACGTATTGTTTCATGAGAGACATGCAATTCCAGGGCCGTATCACGACTGTGTTGCCTTGGGTTACACTCAACAAGTCTTCAGAGCATCAATATAAATTCCAACATGTCGGTCTCTGCCATCACAGTTTTTAAAGCTAAAGTCACCTGAACGAAATTTGCTGAACCCATCGTTCAAAACATTTCCATAAACTTTTTGATATTCTTTGTGGCTACAGAGGCGTCGTTTCCCTTCTTGTATTCAAACAGCATTACATGCCGAATGTGTGTCTCGTCGTGTGCCATCACTATAAGGGATTAGAGTATTTAAGGAATATGGGAAAACTCCATAAAGAAGGTGTTTAGGTGCCTCACGAACTCTCCGATGATCATCGTTTCCAACATGTGAACGTTGCTTCGTCTCTTCTAGCGCGTAATGAGTGTGAACTATTTTTGGACAGAATCGTCACCGGTGATGAAAAATGGATTTTCTATGCGAATATCAAACGCCAAAAACAATGGCTCAGTCCTACACAAAAACCATTTCCGACCCCAAAATCTGAACTCCATCCGCAGAAAGTGATGCTTTGCATTTGGTGGGACATCAAAGGAGTAATTCATTTCGAACTCCTCAATCCACAGCGAACTGTCAATGCAGAGATCTATAGTCACCAACAGGAACGTTTAAATCAAGCTCTTCATCAGAAACGCTCTTCACTCTTCAATAGGAAAGGTGTTCTTGACGACAATGTACGTCCACACCATCTTAGTGGGAAAATGTATGCAAATTTAGATGGGGTTAAAGATGACGTCAACATGTTTTTTGCTCCAAAGCCAGGTGATTTGTCCGGACAATAGATCCGAAAATACACCATTTACGACCTGTTACATCAAAAATGGGCTCTACTCTTTGGAAAGGTAGATGCGCTAAGAGTTGGCGGTGGGTGCTTCCGAATAGCAGCCTCCCTTCTATCTATCAGTGGAAAATTACGAGATAGCTATGTGAATATAATCCTTTGTATGGAATTCTGAAATAAGCGATTTGATTGGCTGTAGTCAATTCTAAAATAGATACGTACATACCTTCATGTATACCTAGCGAAAAATAAAAGTTAGCGTTCACTTGTGCCCAACTAAAGTAACGTTAACGAGCTATTTATGACCAACAAAAAACTTAAGTTAGCCTTTGATTATGTATAGAAAAACTCAAGTTGGTGCTCTTTATATATACGTGTGTGTGCACACACAAGCAAAAAAATACAAGTTGGGATTGGAAAACTAAGACTTATGTTCTATAAGATACAATCTTGCTGAAGAACC